CCAACCCCTCCCCCACTCCCCCCAACCCCTCCCCATCCCCCCACTCCCCCCACCCCCCCCACTCCCCCCTCCCCTCCCCCACTCCCCTTCCCCTCCCCCACTCCCCCATCCCCTCCCCCCCCCCCCACTCCCCCCTCCCCTCCCCCCCCCCCCCCCCACCCCCCCCCCCCCCCCCCCCCCCCCCCCCCCCCCCCCCCCCCCCCCCCCCCCCCCCCCACTCCCCCCAACCCCTCCCCCCACTCCCCATCCCCTCCCCCCACTCCCCCCAACCCCTCCCCCACTCCCCCCAACCCCTCCCCTCCAACCCCTCCCCCCACTCCCCCCCCTCCCCCCATCCCCTCCCCTCCCCCCCCCCCCCCCCCATTTGTGGACGGGACGCAGCAGCCAATTGCGCACAGCGGTGTCCCCACAAACAGCCGTGGGTCTCGAAGTGACTGTTTTCATTTATTTGGAAAGAATCATAACCCCCGGAATCGTTACCCCCCGGAGTCAGAACCGGGTTCCTACCCACTGCTCGGTGCACAGAGGCGTGTGTGCGCGTGTGCGCGTGCGTGTGCGCGTGTGCGCGCGTGTGTGCGCGTGTGCGTGGAGTCAGGAAACTTGCCCAACGTTTGGCCCGGCCGGGTATCAAACCCAGGTCCTCCCGCTTGCGGGGGCGAGTGGTCTGACCGCTGAGCTACAGGACTGCGGGGCCAACAGGGTGGGGCCGTGGAACCGGAGTACGAAGATGTTAGAGCGTGACGCTTCCCTGAATTTATTTATCTGACGCACGTCGTGGTGTCGCCGATCGACAGTCGGCGGCCAAACCAGAGCTACGGGGACAGACTCTCATCGCGCGTTCACAAGGTTTTTTTTCTTTTTTGCTCAGTGATGGGGGGCGTTGAGCGCCGATCGACCCTCAAAGGAACCGCAGGCGAGCGGCTGAACCTCGTTGGAGCAGGTTGTGGGTTCTTCTGATGCACAGCAGTGCACTCCAAATTCAATCAGTGGAAATGACGTTCAGTGTAAGCGATAATGAACACCCACATGGACTCTACAGAAGCGTATTGATATTTCGTAACTGTTCAGGGCGGTGTCACAGAATAGACAGTCAATTCACTTTACAGCGTACAAGCTACCCCGGCAATGAAAGGATTCAATGTGGAAGGTAGATTGACACACAGACACACACACTTAACCTTGAAAGGTTTGACTTTCGCTTGGGCATCTTTATAATGACAAATATAAATGTACACGTACTCCCGACGTGTTTTAAAAATGTCATTTTGTTGTTGTTGTTGCCACGGCTTGGCTTCGTCTGTGTTCTTTACGTTGTTCCCGCCGCTGTTTGGCTACGTGCGTGCTCTGTAACGCAGGATGCCTCAGCGCCACAGTCAGCCGGTTGTTAGTCGATTGGCGGATCGCTTTCCAGGAGTAATAATCCCTCAAAAAAAAATTGGGTCACTCAAACCATGACTGTGGGACAATTTTCTGTGTGCAATTTTCTGCTACATTTCACCTACTGTGGAGTCTGTGTAGTTCAGTGCTTAGAGCACTCGCCTTACAAGTGAGAGACTGGGTTCAATTCGAGGCAGAGGGTGAAACCTTGGGCAAGTTTCCTTACTCCACACAGAGCCTAATAATAATCCCTCCAAAACCAAAAACAATAATAAANTTGGTCATTTTCGATCCACGACTGTTTGTGGGACATTGCTGTGCGCAATTGGCTGCCGCGTTCGCCCACAAAAAATATACAGTCAATTCACTTTACAGTATATACTGTGAAGCGCTTTGAGACACCGAGAAGACATGAAAAGCCCTATATCAAATGCAAGGATTATTATTAAAGATTATTATTATCATTATTACAAAATAGTCACGTCTGCAGCACTCCAGGGCACAGCTGATGACAGCACAGTAATAGCTTTTCACAGCCAATGAATTGTGAGTGAGCATCTTTATAAATAAGATGGTATTTCTAATTATACAATATAATTTGATATAGTGCATTTGATATAGTGCCTTATCGGGTCATCGTTAAAACATTTCAAAGTGCATTACAGGATTTACTGTAAAGCGTACAGGTGAATGCAGCATTCAATTTGCCCACAGCAATGTCCCACAAAATGCCACAAAGTGAATGACCAGTTTTATCTGGGGGGGTTGTTGGCCAGGACACTGGGAGAAACTCTTCAAATTGTGCCTTGGGACCTTTGATGTCCACCTGAACAAGCAGATGGGACCTTTGTTTAGCATCTCAATTGAAGGACGGCATCACTGACTACGCAACTCGCTTTCCCTGCACTGCAGTGGAGTGCAGTGCCAACCTAGACTATGGACTTGAACTCACAACCTTCTGATTTATGAGGCAAGGATGCTGCCAGTCATGAGATCTCAGGAAAAATTACATTGCAAAGGAAAATATTTCAAATTTTATTAAAATGCATTATGCAACAGGTACAATAATTTAGCTGCTTCGCAAGAGATCTGTGAAACAAAGCGATACTGACAATATTCATTTGGTAATGACTCTCGGAGGGCAACCGAAGGTGACCTCGTAACGTGGCTGGTGACATTGAAGCCACAGTACTCTTCTCCCTCGGATTTCTTCTCAACTCATCTGTGCCATCAGTCCTTCCAATTCTGGCCGAGCCTTAAACCGTGCATTGAAATCAGCTACAGTGGGCTGTGAAAACAGTGAGAAGCAATTACTATCTGCCATGCGGAAAATTTGGTTGAACCGCAGCGATTGGGATTACAGCTGGCATTGCTTTGCGCTAAATTATCTGCTTCATCAACTCTTTCAGTGCCGAATATATTCTCACAGTATTTTTCAGCTTCTTAACATGTTTTTGTCAGATACAAAGCCACAAAAATTATATTCCATCAATGCGTTCCTCAGGATATTAACAAGGATATAGTGTTAAAGTGAATTCATTATTTTTTGTGAAATATAAATTCTCATGGATTTTGTGCAAAAATTAAAATAATAAATTAACTTTTTTAATGTTTTTATGAACAGTGTGTGAGTATGATAGTGGAACATGTAAAACAATGAAAAAAACAATGCACTTTGATTGTCATTCCATAAATCTGGTTCTGTTCCACAGGGAGATCACATTATCAATCCCCGGGGATGGGGTGGGATAAGGAGGGAGAAGAGGAAAGAGTTATGCAGGTACAAGTTTCTTCAAATATACAACCATGTATGGGTGAAGAAACTTGTACCTGCAGTTGTCATCTTGCAATTAGAAAAATAGTCCGGTCCACATTTGACATCTTTTAGATCCCTTCCAACTCCCACACAGTGTCACACATTATTGGCCTACAAAATACAGTTACTACACTTTACAGTAAATCCTACGAAGCATTTGAAATGTCCTCCAGATGTGAGGCGCTATATTAAATGCAGAGTTTATTATTATTATTGTTATTATAATACTAATCCTTGCATTTAATATAGCACTGTATCACATTTCGACACAACTCAAAGAGCTTCACAGGATATAATCTAAAGTGGAGTGACTGTGTATTTTGTCGGCAAAATCGGTAGCCAATTTGGACACAGCAATGTCCCACAACCAGCTGTGAAGTGAATGTGGTTTTATTTAGGGAATTGTTGGCCAGGAAACCATGAGAAACTCTCTTCTCTTTTCAAATTCCCTGGTTGCCAAAAAGGTGATCAACTTCCAGCTCTCTATGTAAGATGCTCTGTCGTTCACTACAGACTAAAAAAAGTCCTATGACAGAGAGAGGCCCACTTGGTGCTTCTCTCTGAAGATTCAGCTTACATTGTGTTCTGCTGGGATTTAACCAGTTAAACCGGCGTAGCTTGCCTATAAGAGCATTGCCTGGCAAGCTTCCCACTATTTTTCCAGCTAAATCAACAACAATAAATTCCATTTTATTGCACTTTTCACATCGGGAGGTCATCCCAAACCACTGAACCCCACCCGTTAAAGAGTTTTAACAGGAGCCAAGTGCAAATAATCCCTACTCACTAGTCAGGGCTCTCAGTCATGCTGACAAGCCGGGCTGGCTAGTCAATCATCAACAGTATCATGGAATACTGTGGGATCACTTTAATTAAGAACTAGACCGCGGAGACCACAACAGAGGTCAGCTTGATTTGTCGGTTAATAACTATAATGTTTCAGACCCCAAATTCCAATATCAATCGAAGTGCAAAAGAGAGGGAGCGAAGGCCCAAACGCAAACAACAAATTACATTTGTACAGTGGAAGGATGTCCCAAGGCGTTGGCCAGTCAGGGATTTGGACCCGAGCAGGGGCTTGGGATCAGGAGGGGTGGAGGGCATGGGGGGTAGGGGTAGGAGGGTAAACAAAGGCCCAGACGAAGAAGATGATCGTGAAATGTACCAACGGAGCCAGTGAAGCGAAGGGACTGTGGGATGGAGTTCCAAAGGGTGAGGGTAGAGAGACTGATGGCCTGACCCCCAATGGTGGGGCAAGCAATGGGACATGGAGAATGCTGAGCAGAGGGAGTGGACAGGTTGATATGGAGTTAGCAGATCATAGAGGTAGGGAGGAGCAAGGCCATGGGGGCTTTGAAGTCTTTTACCCAGGCTTTTATTGGGCACTCTCAGCAATAACATAAAGTCACATATGTAACAGCCTGGGAAAACGGAGAAGCTCATTAGGGCCTCTCGAGCGTGTTCAACCATTTTATTTGACTACAGCTACTACTCCATTTCCTTACCTTTTTTCCATATTCCTTAATAGCTGTACTTCTTAAGTATCTATCTCCCTTTCATATACACCTATTGATTCTGCAACCTATATTATAGTCTTTATGTGAAGAAAAGTCTTGTCTTTTTCTAACCAATGTAGTTCTAATTATAATACAAAATCCCTTTGTTTTGAATCCTGCTATGAGAAGAAAAGGTAAGCCCTATCTAGGTTATCATTTCTCTTCCTTTTATCAGTTCTTTGCAATGGAGAAATAGGAAGTGCAGCAGGGAGACCTGGGGAAGGTTGAGGCAGGAGCTGATAAAAGGTGTACAAAATAATGAGGAGTTTTGATAGGGTAAATTATAATATATAATTATCCTTGCATTTGATATAGTCGTTGAGACGTCTTTTAATTTAATTATTAATAATGAAGGATGAAGGCTTGAAGGGGTATGCGGCAGTGAGATTGAATGAACACACGTCGACCGCTCTATTCTCACCCACCGCCTCTCCTCTCAACCCTCATAGCTCTGTCCTTGATTGGTTCAGATCGTACCTCTCACACCGCCTGCACTTCATCTCCACAAATGGTTTCTCCTCTAGCCCCAGCACCATCTTGTGTGGCGTTCCTCGGGGCTCTGTCCTTGGTCCCCTGCTCTTCAACATTTATATGCTCCCTCTTGGTGACATCATCCACAGACATGGGGTCAACTTCCACATGTATACGGATGACACCCAACTCTACCTCTCTGCCTCCGTCCTTGACTCCAGGACCACTGCTGTACTGACAGAATGTCTGTCGGACATCAAGTCGTGGATGAGAGCTAACTTTCTTCAGTTGAACGTGAGGAAGACCGAGCTCTCCTGATTGGCTTCCGTTAGCGCCTCCTCACCTCAGGCGCTGACAGCATCACCATCCATGGTTGCTCACGCCATCTTGCTAAGCCAGTCCAGAATCTTGGGAGTCTTGTTTGACCCTCAACTATCCTTTCTACCCCACATCCGTGCCATGTCCCAAACTGCGGGCTCCAGCCTGCTTCAGGAGCCCCGCCTTGCTCACCTCACTATTGGCCGGTGGGTCTTCTGCCATTTGCCCCCACCCTCAGGAACTCCCGCAGTCCTTCCACTTCGCCCCCTCCCTTGCCTCCTTCAAGACCCATCTCAAGTCCTTCCTCTTCGACAGTGCTTTCGATCAACTTGCTTCCGCTCCTGCCCCGGTCCCAACCCCCAGCTCGGGTCTGAACCATTGACTGTCCAGCGCCTTGGGACGTCCTCCCGACGTGAAAGGCGCTATACAAATGTAATTTTGTTGTTGTTGTTTGAGAGCCGGTGTGAACGCCTTCCTTCCGTGCTGTACATTTCTCTGATTTCTATGCCCCCAAACCCTTTGAGAATGAGGACAGCATCAAAACAAAATTCATTCGGAGAGAGACCAAAGACATCAGCGGTCTGCATAAGCATTCTAACTTGACAAGAGATTTGGGTGCTATTTCCAGAACAAATTTAGATAGACGTGGCGACCTACACATGAACTCAGAGACAGGCAGGCACATCTAATTCCAGCTGAAGTCATCATTTTATTTCAACACATAAACCGGGGTCATAGCCAGATCGAAGTTTTGCTTCGTGCTTCAAAACAACTGACTCAGAATTGAGAGACAGTATCTCATTACTGTGTTTTTTTTCCACTGGTCCCAGTACAATAGAGAGAAAAGGACAGATATGTCTGCAGTCTAATTGGACTGAGCCACAGAGGTTTTCAAAATAATCATGTTGGTACATACCTCCTTGATTGACAGCTGTATCCCTTCAGGCTGATTCATGTTGAGGACTTCCACGAGAATTGGGGCCAGAGTTGAACTCAAACCACTAACCTGAACAGTTAAGATATAATACACAGTGCTTGGATTAAAAAAAAGTTTTTATCACAAACTCTTATATTTGCCCACAATATTAATAAATATAAAATAATTTACTTGGCAACCTGGTATAGGAGCACATTATCTACATATGAGCTGTCTTTACTCAAGGACCAGTATGACATTGGCTGAATTCAACGGAGGGAAAGGAATTAATATTCAAAAGGACCAAACATCTCTATGGAGACTGTTTGCACTGTTTTACACAATGACAAGTTTTTGTACTTTCGTGTCATTTTAGGGAAAGCATTGGCTTCATAAATCAACCAGCAAGAAAAATAAAGCTTGTATTTGGGGTAACCCGGTCACATTAAAATGTGTTAAAGCGCTTCACACAATGAGTTATTTGCAGTTGTGGAGGGGCTTCCACCGGCCCATCTGTGCAAAGTCCAGGATCAAGCAGTGAGATGAAGTTGTGGCAAACACAGGGAGGGAGGGCTCTGGCCTACATTGACCTGTCGCTGAGCACCCTGAAGGCAGAGGTGGCTTCACAGCAGCATGTCTATTTGCCAAAGACCCTCACCTGGATTGAGCAGCTGGTGCTGAGTAAGCTTGGAATGTGGCATTGGACTTGGACCTTGAGAACATCAAGGTGGCTAGTCCTTCACAAGCTGACATCCTTCCACCACACTGAACGCAGATGTCTGCCTGATAGTCGATCAGAAACCTCTGAGGCTTAGGGCAAACTCTGCTGGAAGGCGTTACCTGCTTAATTTACAACATACTTTTTTTTATTTTTAGCATTTGCTCGACGAAAGAAGACGAAGGTCCATCTAATTCGCCTTCCACTATCCTGGCAGTAGCTTGTCACGTGTCCCAAACTATACATTTGCCAATCAAACCTGTAGTGAAGGTTATCCTGTGGCCACATATTCTCTTCTCCAATAGTACAAACAAAACGATGATAGAAAATAAATACCTGTATAATCCTCTCATGAGTGGTAATAATAGCTTCCAGATATGTCTTTGTGCCCTGTTCCTGCAACAGTGAAATCTCTGTGGATTTGGTCGGTATTGCATAGCTGGAGTATGAAAAACACAGATAAGCATTATTTAATACCTCAACGGCGTTAGAGCAAATTCAGGAAAGTGTAAAGATTTCTCAGTACATCATAAAAACATTGCTTCCTAATTGAAAAACAAACAACACAAGTCAATGAAAGGAGTGACAGATTCTAAACAGCAGAAATCCAAGCCTGTGGGACCAATTTGATTTTTAATAATAATAATAATCCTTGCATTTAATATAGCACTTTTCACATCTTCTAGATGTCTCAAAGTGCTTCACAGAATATGCTGTAAAGTGAATTGATCGTATATTTGTGGGCGAAACGCGGCAGCCAATTGCGCACAGCAGTGTCCCACAAACAGTCGTGGATTGAAAATGACCAATTTATTATTATTTTGTTTTGGAGGGATTATTATCAGGTGTGTGGAGTAAGAAAACTTGCCCAAGGTTTCGCCCTCTGCCTGGAATTGAACCCAGGTCTCTCGCTTGCAAAGCGAGTGCTCTAACCACTGAGCTACAGGACTCCATCTTAAAATTTAAGATCGTGCAAAAGCGTGGAAAAAAAATGTCTTGAATTCAGACTTAATTTGGAAGCGCTCTGGGACGTTATCCTGCTTGAGGGGCGCTATATAAATGCAAATTGTTGTTGTTGAAGGCTGTTTTTTAAGGACTGCTGAAAATTGGCTTCCAGATTAAGACTGGATTTAATAACTTCCCACTATTCTGCAAGATTTTAAAAATTATGACAAAATGGCCTTTCAGGTTAAGACTAGGTTCAGGCCTCAGAAATCTAAGAGGATATGGCAAGGGAAGGTTCTCCAACAAAGTCATTTGAAAAAGATGTGCGTTGGACGAAAAGGCCACTCAATGAAGGTTTTTTGATTGGTTTAGGGGAAGAGGAAAAAGATGTATCTTCCAGGTTAAAAANGTGACTATCATGTTATTTAATTATCCTCCTGACATGAAAGTCGCTATACATATATAAACATGTATTGCATTATCAATTAAGCCGTGAAATTAATTAACCCGCAGATATTTATGCCACTTTTTTGACACTCTATTTGAATCTGAAGGGCAGAAGGATAAATCCGGGAACTACAGGCCAGTCAGCCTAACGTCAAGTAGTGGGGAAACTTCTAGAGATTATAATCCGGGACAAAATAAATTTTCACTTAGAAAAATATGGGTTAATAAAGGACAGCCAACACGGATTTGTTAAAGGTAAATCATGTCTAACAAACGCGATAAGAGTTTTTTGATGAAGTGACGGAGAGGTAGTGCAGTTGATGGAGTTTATATGGATTTTCAAAAGGCGTTTGATAAAGTGACACATAAGAGACTTGTAAGCAAAACAGAAGCCCACGGTATTAAAAGGACAGTGGCAGTTTGGATACAGAACTGGCTGGGAGACAGAAAGCAGAATGTAGTGGTGAACGGTTATTCTTGTCACTGGAGGGAAGTGTGCAGTGGTGTTCTGGTGGCAGTGGTTGACAGTGGTGTCGGTATTGGGATCACTGCTGTTTTTGATCTATATAAATGATCTGGAATTGGGTATAGGGAGTTCAATTTCCAAGTTTGCAGATGATACTAAGCTAGGAAAAGCAGTAAACAGTGAGGAAGACAATAGCTGACTGCAAACGGACATAGACAGACTGGTAAAATGGGCAGACACGTCTCAGATGAAGTTTAATGTGGGGAAATGTGCAAAGTGATGCATTTTGGGATGATGAACGGGGAGAGGCAATATTAGCTGATGGTACAATCTTAAAGTGGCTGAAGGAACAGAGAAACCTGGGGGTTCATATAAGTAAATCTTTGATGATGGCACGACAGGGAGATAAAGCTGTTAAAAAAGCATACGGGATACTCGGCTTTATAAATAGGGCATAGAGTACAAGAATCAGGAAGTTATGATGAACCTGGTTAGGCCTCAGCTACAGACTGTGTTCAGTTCTGGGCTTTACACTTCAGGAAGGATGTCAAGGCTTTGGAGAGGGTACAAAGGAGATTTACCAGGATGGTACCAGGAATGAGGGACTTCAGTTATCAGAAGAAGCTAGAGAAGCTGGGATTATTCTCCTTGGAGCAGAGCAGGTTTAGAGGAGACTTAATATAAGTTTTAAAAATTATGAGGGGATTGATAGGGTGAACAAGGAGAAACTATTTCCACTGGACTATCCCGAGGACACCGACTTAAAATAGTTGTTAAAATAAACAGAGGGAAGGTGAGCAATTTGGTTTACACAGCGAGTTGTCTGGATCTGGAATGCATTGCCTGAAAGGGTAGTGGAAGCTGATTCGATAACAGCTTTTAAGAGAGAAGTAGATAATTATTTGGGGAGGGCTATGGGGAGTGGGATTGATTTGGAAGCTCTTTTCAAAGCGCCGGCACATACATGTTGGGCTGAATGGCCTCCTTCTGCGCTGTATAATTCTATGATTCTTTGAATTGAAATTATGGGGTGACTAACGTATAGCATTGATGGTTACCTCTCTTCTACTTTGATCCCAAGTTGATTGCAGAGCTTGTGGATGTACTGATTGTAGTGCTCGACAAGGGTCAAGTTGAAGCCATTTACGCTGATATTCAGGGAACCGTACACGGTGTCAGTGCCCAATTTCACCTCCTTCATTTGGAGCTTATCCTTCTTCTTCCGTACCTGTTGAAAAACCAAGCAGCTGAAACCTTTATGCATTTTACACAGGTATTTCATAACAATCTTTCCATTTGATATAGCGCCTTATCAGGTCGTCAAGCCATCTCAAAGCACTTCACAGGATTTTACAGTAGTGCAGTATGCTGACTGTGTATTTTGTAGGTAGAAGTGACAGCCAATTTGCACATAGTAATGTCACACAAACAGCCATGAAATGAATTTTATCTCTATATGAAAGCATTTGCCCGCTAAAGTATCAGAAAAGCTTGGACACTTTTTTTTATATATTCTTTGATCAGCCGACCCCAACTGTGGTCACCTCCCTTTTCTCCTTTGGCCAGTTTCCAACCCTGCCATTGTGCAGTGCTTCAAGACACTATCCTGTGTGAAGAACGCTATATTATTGCAATTTGTTTTTTGTTAATGTTAACTGCGGGTCCTAAAAATGTCAAGAGTTTCACAGCTTTGACTTACATAGAAAGTTATAGCACAGAAACAGGCCTTCGGCCCAAGTAGACTGACTAGACAGGTCCAACTTAGGGTAGCTCACATATAAATGGCTGAAGGGTGATGTGGCATACGTAATTGTTCTCAGTTCTTTTGGGCACATTTTCCAAGGAATAAGCACAGAGGAACTACAGAACAGGAAAACATGGATTAACAACTTGCATTTGTAGAGTGCCCTTCCTACAGGATAATGTCTCACAGCGCTGTACAGTGGTGGAGTTGAACATCAAGGAAGGACAAAGGGTGAGTGAGAGGTGACCATTGGCACAGTCAAAGAAATAGGTTTTCAGGTGGGATTTGAATATAGATAAAGAGGGGACAAGGCAGAGGCATTGAAGCAGGGAATTAATAATACTAATCCTTGCATTTGTTACAGCGCCTTTCACGTTGGGAGGACATCTCAAACACTTCACAGGATATACTGTAAAGTATAATGACTGTGTATTTTGTAGGCTTTTGTATGAGTTCCAGAGATTAGAGTGTAGTGGCAGAAGGTACGGCTTCAATTTCCCTCAAATGCTTCGAACGTTTTCAATGACACATCTGATGTGCCTCCACAGCCAAAAAGAGATCATGATTACCTCTGATTCATGAGGTCCCTCACTGCTGCTGTCAGTGAATGGCTTTTGGCCGCCTCTCAGGTTCTAAATGTGAGGTCTTCAAGAGGATATGACAAAGAATTAAAAGGAGTGTTTCTTCTACCAGGTCATTTGACAATGACACATGTAATGATTAATAAGTGGCAAATAGTACTTCACACTGCAAGTACCAATCCCTTCAGTGCATTACTTTTTTTATTCAAAGCAAACAGTTTTTTTTTAAATTCTGTAAAACATTATAAAACTTCTTCATCCTCCTTTAAAATCAGCCTTAAACACCTACATCTGTGACTGCGCCTATGGTCACCTCCCACATCTCCCCTCCCTCAGTGTCCAGCCCTATCATTGTAAAGTGCTCCAAGTCAATAGTCATTACCCTATGTAAATGCCGCTGTATAAATGCAAGTTGTTGTTGTTGATCTACCCCTGATTTAGTCAACAAACAACATAGCTTTATTTTAAAACCAAAGTTTACTTTCTACAACTCTAATTTTACAACTTATCTCCTGAATTTCACAATGAATCACATGGTTCATTCCAATACCATCCATGTGCTGAATTTGTAATCAAGTCATGAACAAAAGATATTGCTTACCACTTCCTTTGGGAGGAGGTATTTATACCTCCCAATCCCATGGGTGGGCATTGACTTGTAATGCCTCTTGTCGGCCTGGACATTACCTGAGGATGCAATGTAGATTTTACTTAATTAAAATGCTCCCGAGTCCAAATCTATTACGTATTCTCACATGAATTTAATAAAAGTTACAACAAGTCCATCCCTTCTCATGGATTTTGCTCACAGGCAGTTGTCTGTAAAAGCTTCGCAAAGGAACTCTGGGCATGAAACACCAGGAGGCAGAAGTTGTGCATACTATTCCTGGTACCTAGATCCTTTCTGCTAATTAACACTTCTAAATAAGTGAAAAGATTCTCTAACCTGCTGAGTACGGAGGGAGTTGTCTGGAAGCAGTCAGCCTGAGAAGCAAATAAACACAAAAAGTCATCAGAGATCAGGACATTCTGTAAAACTTTCACAATTACAGATCTTGATCACCTTTATGTAATACTAGCTGTACCCATTGCAGCTACGCTTGCAATCAAAGGATCCATTATGTGTGTAGATTGACACACAGACAGACACACAGACATTCCATCTTTATCTATACTCATCTGGGAGGACTCCTGTGGGAGGATTTCTTTTGGTAGGACTCAGTGGGAGGACTCGGCACTTTAAAAATGTAGTTTTATTGTTGTTGCCTCGGCTTAGCTTCATCACTAGGTGTAACTGCAGTGAGTGCGTACATACATATGTGCTCTGAGACGCATGATGTCAAAGTGCCACTATGACTCGGTAGCCACCAGGTATAACTGCAGCAAAAAATGCAAAACTGAAAATAACTCATGAACAATAGGAGATACCTGAAAATAAATATGCCCATGTCACTCCTAGGCACAAAACCTTTCTGATGAGGTATAAATCATGCCTCTACGTTAATCGGTTATTGAGATCCTTCTTGAAGCAGAGGCAGACATTGTCGTTTTATTAGTATAGAAGAATATTAGTATAGGAAGAAGATAGAAGATTATTATATAACACGGCTCCACTATTTTGAGTCATACATTTCTCAAGGTAAGAATCTGGTAATTGGTAAACAAGTCACCAATTTCAAAATTATGAGGGGATTCAATAGGGTGAACAAGGAGAAACTATTTTCACTGGTGGGTGGGTCGCTAACCCGAGGGCACCGATTTAAAATAGTTATTAAAATAGATGGGAGGTGAGGAGAAATGTTTTCACACAGCGAGTTGTTGGGGTCTGGAATGCTTTGCCTGAAAGGGTGGTGGAAGCCGATTTGATAACAACTTTTAAGAGAGAAGTAGATAATTATTTGGGGAGGACAAGTTTGCAGGGCTATGGGGAGAGAGCGGGGGAGTGGGATTGAATTGAATAGCTCTTTTTAAAGAGCCCGGCACAGACACGATGGGCCGCATGGCCTCCTTCTGTGTTGTATAATTCTATGATTCTATGACAAAGCACATTTGTTGTTAAACTATATTAAAAAAAAACAGAAAATGCATTTCAGCATTAAGATTTATCTTTCTGGCAGTGCTTTGGTTACCTTTCCCTGGCCTCCTGGTTATAAATATCTGAACAAAATTCTCATCCTCTACAAAGAACAAAGTGACCCTTACCTGAGGATTGCAGCAGCTGCTTGCTTCAAGAGAGTCTCATTTCTTAAACATAGGACCTACCAGGAAAGTGCATAAGAACATAAGAAATGCTGGACGAGAAAAGACCAAAGTCCAACTAGTTCACCTTCCACCTTCCCGGCGGTCGCTTGCACATATGTCCCAAACTACCTATGTACTATATCCCGTAATGTTATTTCCTAAAAGAAAACTACCTCATCCATGTTTGCGGGAATCAACACTTCCTGCTTCAACCATCTCTCCAGGGAGCCTGTTCCACAGGTTCGTTCTGAATTTCCCCCTTCAATCGCGGGCCGAGTCCTTTGGTTTTATTATTCTGGACAAATTGATCTATATTGTTGCCCCTTTAGAATCTTAAAGACAGCAATCACGTTGCCTCTCACTTTTCTCTTTTCCAGTGTGAACATGCTCAATTTACTTAGTCGCTCCTCATAGTCCAGTCCCTCCATTCCCTCAATCATTCTGGTTCCCCTCCTCTGTATCTTCTCGATTTCTTCAATATTCTTTTTGTACTGCAGTGACCAGAACTGAACACAGTACTCAAAGTAATAATAAAATAATAATAATCCTTGCATTTGATATAGCGCTTTTCAGGTTATCTCGAAGTCTCAAAGCGCTTCACAGAATATACTGTAAAGTGAATTGACTGTATATTTGTGGGCAAAAATGGTCTCACCAATAATTTATACAGTGGCAGGATTACCCCACTATTTTGGCTGCTATTGATCTTTTGATACATCCCAACTGCTGGTTTGCTTTACCCACTGCCACAGAGCACTGTTGGGAGAGCTACAATTTATTGTCAATCAGGACCTCCAGGTCCTTTTCATTTTCTAGACATATTATTTTCCTTCCGCTCAAATAATAGTCCCGACAAGTATGACAATAATGATAATCCTTGCGTTTGATATAGCGCCTTATGTCTTCGAGACGTCTCAAAGCGCTTCACAGAATATACTCTAAAGTGAATTGTCTGTATATTTTGTGAGCGAAACACGGCAGCCAATTGAGCACAGCGGCGTCCCACAACCAGTCGTGGATTGAAGTGATCAATTTATTATTGTAATTTTTGGGGTCAGGTGCACGGTTAAAAATGTTATTTTAAAACTTTTTAAGTTTGTATCAATTTTAAATCAGACTCACACATTCAAATTCAATTGACAAGTCAAGTCCTACAGTTGACAAGTAATTAAATAATAATTTAAATAGCGATTCACCTCACCCACGTGCTGTAATACCTCACACTGCACTGTAACGTGATGTGCTGTGATGTCCTTTATTACAATGTGTTGCACTGTTAAATATGTCAATGCTTTATCCAAGATAAACAATACGGTGTATTAGTGTAATTCTCTACAGTACTGTACTGTACAGTACAGTATATTGCAGTACTTACAATAGTGTACAATAATAATAATAAAATTAATCTTGTATTTGGTATAGAGCATTATCATGTTGGAAGGACTTTTCAAAGTGCTTCACGGGAATTACTGTGAAATGAAGTAACTGTGTATTTGTAGGCAAACTCAGCAGCACAATTGTACAAAGCAATGTCCCACAAACAGCTACGAAATTTATTTGGGGGAATGTTGGCAAGGACACCGGGACAAACTCCCTTCTCTTTTTGAATAGTAAACCTTTAAAGTCCTTCCTTCCCACCGCCCTCCCCGCCTTCTCTCTCTCCTCGACCCCATCACCACTTCCCTCTGCTCCAGCCTGGGCATCCTCCGCCGGGCCCATCGTGGCTCCCGGCACTGGCTGTCCCAGAGCAGCAACCCCACGTGTCCCACCCCTCCCTCCCTCCGCTCAAACCGCCTCCTTAAGGCAAACCCAACTTCCCCTTCCCTCATACGTACCCTCCCCAACTCTCCACTCACATCACTCTCCACAACCATCTCTCCTGTACAACCCAAAATCCTCTCTGCACCACTCTCTACTTCCCCCACCCCCCCTCCAGCAAACCCACCCGCATTTCCCTCCAAAATGTCCGTTCCCTCTCAAATAAAGCCCTCACCATCCACGACCTCATCCTGGACGAACGCCTTGACATTCTTGGGCTCACTGAAACCTGGCTCTCCCCCAGTGACCCCGTCCCACTAGTGGAAGCCTCCCCTCCAGGCTACACCTTCCACCACACCCCCCGTCCAAACTAACGTGGCGGCGGGGTGGCCTTCATCTCCAAAGCCTCCCTACTCCTCTGGCTGCATCCCCTCCTTCGAGCACCCCACCCTTTTCCGCCCCTCTCTCCCTTTGAAAATCCTTGTTTACCGCCCGTCGGCTCTTTCCACACAGACATCTCCACTCTCCTCTCTTCCCTGTCCCTCTGCTCCGAGCGCCTACTCATAATGGGCGATTTCAACCACCACCTAAACTCCCCTTGCACCACTTCTGCCGAATTCACTGCCCTCCTCTCCTCCCTAAACCTCACCCTCCATATAAATTCGCTTACCCACAACCGTGGTCATGCACTTGACCTCGTTGTCACCCACGGCCTTGACATTTCCGACTCAGCATAGTGGACAAGGCCATCTCGGACCACTTTTTCATCTCCTTCTCCTCACACATCCCTCTCTCCTCCACCAAACCCTCAACCATCCTTTACCGCCCTCACAAAGGCCCTCTCATCATCAGACATCCTATCAGTCTGGCCTTCCACCCGCGGAGATCCTGCAGCAGCCGTCCAGCTGCTCCATGATAACCTCTTCTTCACCTTCAACTCCCTCGTCCCCCTAAAATCCAGGACCATCTCCAAACCCACCCGATCCCCCTGGTACAACAACCATCTCCGCCGCCAAAAAACCCAAACCCGGCTGCTCGAGCGCAGATGGCGCAGATGTGGAGTCCTGTAGCTCAGTGGTTGGAGCACTCGCTTTGCAAGTGAGAGACCTGAGTTCAATTCCAGGCAGAGGGCGAAACCTTGGGCAAGTTTCCTTACTCCACACAGAGCCTAATAATAATCCCTCCAAAACCAAAAACAATAATAAATTGGTCATTTTCAATCTACGACTGTTTGTGGGACATTGCTGTGCGCAATTGGCTGCCGCGTTCGTCCACAAATATACAGTCAATTCACTTTACAGTGTGTTCTGTGAAGCGCTTTGGGACGTCCTCCCGACGTGAAAAGCGCTATATCAAATGCAAGGATTATTATTATTATTATTATTATTATGGCAGAAAACTGGCCTTACAGTCCACCGCCAACTGTGGCTCGAGCATCTCCACAGCCACCGCCGTTCTTTGACACGCACAAATACGGCCTATTACTGCATCGTCATCTTGGAGGCTAAACACAACCCCAAAATCCTTTTTTCCACCACCCACTACCTCCTCCGTGACCCCCTCAGGCCTCCTCAATCTTCGTATCAAATGCCAAGTGCGAGGAGGTCATGGACTTCTTTTCATCTAAAATACTTAACATCCGCCATCGGCCTCATCCACCTGCCCCTCGTCACCCACCACCACCCACCACCACCCACCACCTCGCCCTCTCTGCCCCCCTCACCTTCCTCATCATCTGCGACACAGTGTATGATAGTGTCACAGTGTATGATGGTGTCACACAGTGTGTGATAGTGTCACAGTGTATGATAGTGTCACAGTGTATGACAGTGTCACACAGTGTGTGATAGTGTCACAGTGTATGATAGTGTCACAGTACAGTGTGTGACAGTGACACAGTGTGTGATAGTGTCACACAGTGTGTGACGGTCACACAGTGTGTGACGGTGACACAGTGTGTGACGGTGTCACAGTGTACGATGGTGTCACACAGTGTGTGACGGTCACACAGTGTGTGACGGTGACACAGTGTGTGACGGTGTCACAGTGTGTGACAGTGACACAGTACAGTGTGTGACGGTCACACAGTGTGTGACGGTGACACAGTGTGTGACGGTGTCACAGTGTGTGACAGTGACACAGTGTGTGACAGTGACACAGTGTGTGATAGTGTCACAGTACAGTGTGTGACGGTGTCACAGTGTGTGACAGTGACGGTGTTGTGGCGGTGACTGACGAGAGCGGCGCCGTGAAGCGGTGACGGTCACTCACGCGGTTCATGGCCGCGGACACGGGGCCGCCGTCCGTCCCTCTCTCCCTCCGCCGCCGCCGCCGCCGGAAACGGTCCCCCGCGGCCGCCTCCCGCCGGAGCCGCTTTGCCGGAGCGCGAGTTCCGGGGGACAGTCAAGGACCGGACGCCCGGAGCCCGGGGGTGGGGTGGCGAGGGGGGGGGGGGCGGCAGATCGGGCGGGTTTCACGCCCAATGGGGCGGGTTTCACGCCCAATGGGGCGGGTTTCACGGCCAATGGGGGCGGGTTTCACGCCCAATGGGGCGGGTTTCACGCCCAATGGGGCGGGTTTCACGGCCAATGGGGCGGGGTTTCACGCCCAATGGGGCGGGTTTCACGGCCAATGGGGCGGGTTTCACGCCCAATGGGGCGGTTTTCACGCCCAATGGGGCGGGTTTCACGCCCAATGGGGCGGGTTTCACGAGTCGCCGCGTTGGAACCGGGGCCCCATTGGGGCTACTTTTGGGGCTCGTGTTTCGCTGGACTTTGGGCTTTACACCAACGTGCAATGTGTTATACATACAGTAAAATCCCTTCCCTGAGGTGCGGCGCCTTCTCGGGTCCCTGGAGGCGCCTCTCGGAGCGCTTCGCGGGCCGGGGCGCGGAGCGGAGTGACCGCGCGCTGTTTGCGGGCGAAGCGCACAGTAATTCGGGCCGAGAGGGCAGAGGGATGAGGCGAACGGTTTTGCCGATCGGTTTTGCGGGCGGCGCGAGCGAACGGCTCCGGGGAGGAGGTTTTTTTTTTTCTTTTTTCGGAGGCACGAAGGCCTCTCAATTTCGGTCTCTTTTCAAAACGTCGGCCGCCGCCGCCGCGTCCGCCCGCAACGCGCCACAGTCACTTCACTTCGCCGGGCGGAGCGCTTTGGGACATCCTCCCAACGTGATAGGCCCCGTAATAATAATAATAATAATAATAATCCTTGCATTTGATATAGTGCTTTTCACGTCGGGAGGACGTCCCAAAGCGCTTCACAGAACACACTGTAAAGTGAATTGAGTGTATATTTGTGGGCGAACGCGGCAGCCAATTGCGCACAGCAATGTCCCACAAACAGTCGTAGATTAAAAATGACCAATTTATTATTGTTTTGGTTTTGGAGGGATTATTATTAGGCTCTGTGTGGAGTAAGGAAACTTGCCCAAGGTTTCGCCCTCTGCCTGGAATTGAACTCAGGTCTCTCACTTGCAAAGCGAGTGCTCTAACCACTGAGCTACAGGACTCCACAGCAAAGGCGACGATTATTATTTTTATGATTAGGGGGCGGGAGGGACGCAGCTAAATACTCAGTAAGTTAATTCAAGCCGATCTTCCGATTTGGATCTTGTAATAATGATAATTCTTGGATTTGATACAACGCCTTTAACATCGGGAGAACGTCTTATAGCGCTTCACAAGTTGGACTGTAAAGTGTCGTGACTGTGCGTTCTCTGTGGGCGAACAAGGCGGACAGTTTGCTCGAAGCAACGTCCCACAAACATGAAGTGATGTTAAATCGTATTGTTAAATTGATATCTTGCACTTTTCCTGCAGTACTCTTAGTGACTTGCCTCGCAGCAAGAGGACCCGGATGAGGCAAAGCCTTAGGCAAGTTTCCTTATCCCAAACGCCTCTGGCTGTCTAGCAGTAAGCAGCAACGCAGTTGTTAGTCGACTGATGGATCACTTTCTAGGAGGCGATAATACCTTAAAAAAATTGGTCTCTCCCGACTGTTTGTGGGACATTATTGTGTGCAATTGGCTGCCTCATTTCGCCCAGAACATATTGTCAATTCACTTTACAGTACGTTCTGTGAAGGGTTTTGAGACGTCTTAACACGATAGGATGCTATATCAAATGCAAGGATTATTATTCTTATAAATTGTGTAAGGTTTATTCCCCTGTTGTTCATTGTGGGGAATTTGTACATTTATCTTCTTCTTTTTCTTCTTCTTCTATCTATCTTCTATGCTAATAAAGTGACAATGTCTGTCTGTCTGTCTGTCAGCCAAGATCTCAATAACCAATTGATGTAGAGACATGATTCATACCTTATCGGAGAGGCCTTGCATTTGGGAGTGTCATGGGCATATGTTTTTTTGGGGGGGAGTTCCTATCGTTGATGATTTATGACCTAAACATAACTCATCACACATTTATGGCAGTTTTACGTTTGCACTGCAGTTACACCCGGTGGCCGCACCGACTCACGGTGGCCCAGTGCCTGGCATCGTGCGTCACAGACGAAGTTCTGGGGAACCAACCTGGGGATACCAAGTCATTGTGGGAAGCCAAGCGGCGGGAACAAGTTAAAGATGCCTAAGCGAACATCAAGCCTTTCAAGTACAAATAAAAATGCCAGACAAAGAAAGGAGGCCGATTAAATGAAACTGAAGAACAAAGAAGAACAGCAAAATTACATTTGTCAAGATTTTTCATGCAAAGCTGCATTGCAATAACTTGAGGACCTGGTGGATCACACTGTAAACCCCTTCGATTAGCGTAGCTTTAATAAGATCTAACATTCATGAGCTATGACCCTTTGCTAGAATCTTCTGTCTTTCATGAGCTGTGACCCAAAAAAGCTCATCGCAGTTTTGCGTAACACACAGTGTTTATGGCATCTTAAATGGTATCACTGAAATCTACATTCCGTATCGGATCCATTGGTTGCAAGCGTAGCTGCAACGGGTACAGCTAGTTTGGCCTAAACATGTTAGTTCTGCTCAGTTCATTAAATGTAGTGAATTTATCATTGTTTAGTCATAGAAGTTTACAGCACAGAACAAGGCCAATTGGCCAATCGTGACTGAAACACCCATCCCTTCAGTACCAATGCAAGGATTATTATTATTTCCACCACTCCCCACCTTTTCCTCATATCCTTTTATAGGTTTTATATTTGCAGATGTAGTTATATTGAAAAAGCCATTATGGATTCAGGTTTAACCACCGTTTTCGGTAGGGCATCTCATGTCCTCCTAAGCCTCTGTATAAATAAGTTGCTTCATCACGATTGGGAAAGGTATGTGTCCTGGGAAATTTTCTTGTGATTGGCTGCCAAGCATTCTCATGTTTGGCTGCCAAGTGCCCTTATTTTACCTTACAATCCCGAGCCCTTTCAGGGAGCCAGGCTGCCACTGGTCACATTATTTACAAATAGAGCACATAAAAATGGAGGCCCACCAAAGGTTATTCCAGCCCTGCCTACATCTAGTGCTTTTCTCCTCAAGAAATACAGAAACCGTGACACTGATGCTCCTGACGTGTTACAGTGTACTGTGTGTGAGGATATGTCAAGGCTGCAAAAATACCTTCATGAAAAATGTTTATGAATATCGCTGGGGGGCCATATAATCTGGCTCCACGAATCTCCTAACTCATCTGCCTCCGCCAAGCATCTGTCATTATTGTCCTCAAGCCTTGTTGATAAGAAGAAAACAACAAAGGATGCAATAGGTGAGTGAGTATTTGCAGATGTTCCCAAGGGCTGTATTGTGATCTCCCATGCATTCCGCATATTAAAACCTCATTTTTTCAAAATATGCTCCTTCAGTAAACTTGTGACAGAAGGAATCTCTCTTGTGGATGTTCAACAACAACAATTTGCATTTATATAGTGCCCCTTACCCAGGGTAGCGTCCCAGAGCGCTTGACAGTGGTGAATCTTGAATCGTTTGACCTGAGGGTGGTCGAAGACAAACTTTTCAAATTCAAAAAGAGAAATGGTTCAGGGAAATTTTACCATGTTAGAAAATAAGTCATTTAATAAGTAATGTTTTCTAAATTTGATAATTGTGCATCTTTTAGCGAAATTAGTCTGTTTGATTATTTTTTCTAATTTTCTCCCTACTGACCTGTGCGTCTCTGCTTCAGGTTCCCTGACTCCTCGTGCTGGGGTGCAGTTTGGGACGTCCTTCCGATGTGAAAGGCACTATATAAATGTCATTCGTTGTTGTTGGTCCATGGTTACCCTCCAGTACGTCGACCAAGAGGCCATTGTTGATGGGTGAGCCTTGGCTGTGAGTGTTGGATGTCATTCAACTGTACAATGCAATACATCATTACATTTCTTTCATGCCTTTCACATTGGGAGGACATTGCAGCTAAACCTGACCTCTGTCCACCCGGCTGCCACACACATGCACACGCACGCACATACATACAAAACCTTACAACAACAACAAAATTACATTTGTAAAGCGCCTTTCACGTCAGGAAGATGTCCCAAAGGCTGAAAGACAAGGCTTATTATTAATATAAATTGCCTCATTATTAATAACAATCAGACAATTCAGAGCAGAATTTAAACTCTTTGGAAAAAAGAACATAATCTTCTGCATTACTCTTTGGTAGAATAAATGACAATGGGGGAACTGTAAAAAGACTGCCATTTTATTGCCAATTTCAAGATGACCGATCGGGAAAGAGATAGCACAGTTATAAAACAAGAGTCATCCCTCATGATTTACAGACACCACATTAGGGGTATTGATTGTAGCTGACACCTACTTTCTTCGGTGAGTTAGATTAAATAAGAAAATACTGTGGTCAACCTGAAGAGTTAAAAGAAGCTTGAGGTGTCAGGCTAACGCCAATTATCGCCCGGTGCTGCCAGTGGAGATGACTGCTGTGCTAACCTTCTGCTTTAGTAGCTCCTGAGAAATCCTTAACAGACTATTGTGGGCAGTTGTTAGTCAGCAATGACTCACTGCATCCCAATGTTCCTACCTCATTAACGAAGAACAAACGGTGCATTCTTTGCCACTGTTAGCTTCCCACAGTGACTTGGTTTCCCCAGATTAAGGAGGATAACTCTAGCCAGAATTTATGCTTCTTATTTCTTATCGGCATCCTTTACTGTGTGCAGTAATGATAACAATAATAATAATACTCTTTGCATTTTATATATTACGTCGTTGAGACATCTCAAAGCGCTTCACAGAATATGCTGTAATACCTCCAACACGCCTTTGTGGAGTCCTATAGCTCGGTGGTTAGAGCACTCGCCTCACAAACGAGCGACCTGGGTTCGATTCCCGGCAGAGGGCAAAACCTTGGGCAAGTTTCCTTACTCCACA